TTGATATGATATTGATGTTGCTTTTCAGTAAATGGTTTTAATAAACTACTTATTCAAAACGAAATTTTTGGTCAAGATTTTTGGGATGTTACACTTATATTGTCGTTGTCTCGAAAAAAAACATAGCCATATAGGGGTTGTTTGTAAATATGTTGGCCTAGAAATTTGCAGCCCAATAGTGACTACTTCTGATGTTATTGCCTTGAAAATTCATATCCATATGAGGGTTGTTTATGAAGTAGTTGTCGAGGGTTTGCAAATCAAGATTCTGATCCTCAACCTTCACAAGGCTTATTTGAGAAGTCTTTTTCTATATCCAAACCACTAGTGTTCATTAGGGCTTTATCACCACAACACTCTAAATCTCAATCTGTTTAGATGTAAAATTAAAATTTTGCTTCAAATAAATCGTCTTTCTCCACAAAAGGTAATTATAATTCTAAGTTGTGCAAAAAGTTATAAACATGACTTTTCTTTGATTGAGGCGATGAATAATTATATTGAGATAGGTAATGCTCTTGGATACGAAATTGAGGGATGTAAGGATGATTTAAAGAAGTTAATATCTAGAATGGTTGTATAAGAAGTTATCCATTGAATATTATGTCTGTAAATATTTGTAGCTTGAGGAACCAGAGGAATAGGTCTTGGGTTAAAAATTTGTAACACTCATAAAAATCATGCCAAATTTAAATTTTTTAAAACATTTCAAAACCCATGATTATTACAGAACTTGTTTTCAAAATAGTATAATGTCAGAGTATCCCATAATCAAATCATAAAATCATGAAATATGAGGAGCTGTACGATCACGCCTTCTCCTTCCCGCGGTCATCAGAAGTACCTGAAACAATAATCGATAAATGTAAGCTTGAAGGCTTAGTGAGTTACCCCCAAAATACCAATGCCATAAAACACATCAATAACATATAAGCAAACAACATGTATAATGAGCCTTCAGCCTGACTGGACCGCCTCACAAGCCTTCAGCTTATCTGGACCGCTCTCCGATCCTTTGGCATGTCTGTACCGCCTCGCAGGGCCTACAGCCTATCCGGACCGCTCGTCGGGCCTTCGATCTGACCATCATGCCCTCCTGGGCCAGTAGTCTATCCGGACCGCCCTGAGTATGTTGGTCTTCAACACAGAGCAGGACCGCCTCAACACAATCCCCCAATCAAATAAACATGTGCACATAATATCATACGCTAGCATATATAACAGTCAAACCGATCTAACATATCATCAATCATAGCAACATGTGACAAACCGAAACTTTTTCGTTCAAATCGTTAAAAAATAAATCAATTTGGAATTTATTTCTGCTCTTTCCGTCATTATTTTGAGCTTAATTAAATATTCTAGGCTCGGTCCAATTAAGTTATGGGTTCAAAAATGAGGTTTCTATGTCAAAGCGTAACATCCGGGCCAAACACCCCCTTCGAGAGGAGTTTACGGCCGCAAACTCAGTTTACGACCGTAAACCCTGTTTACGACCGTAAACCCTGTTCACGGCCGTAAACCCCCCACCACCCCCCTTGGCCGTAAACTCACCCCTATATAAAGGGTGAGTGGCTTTCATTTCCAACTTTAAGCACTCAAAGGACTTTCTCTCTCTACTCTCTCTTTACAAAATTCGAGTTTTGCTCAAGGATCTTCAAAGTCTAAGTGATTCTTCACTTCTATGGTGTTTCAATCCCTTTTCTAGTGATGAATCCATGTTTCATCTCATAAAGTTCATCTTTTTCTAGATCTTCTCTCTCACCAAGAACACCAAGAACACTCACTAATTCTTGGTGGCTAAAAACCTCATTCCAAGCATCTTACAGTAAGTAACTACTCCCTATGATTTGTATTCTATGTTCGAATTTCGGGACGAAATTCCCTCTAACGGGGGAATGATGTGACAACCCGAAACTTTTTCCGTTATCCTTACTCAATTTCCGTTAATCAAATTTGGGTTTTTTTATTTAATTCCGTCAAATTTGATAGTTTAGGAAGGACTTT